AGCTTTTCACGCTTATATTTTCACATAACACCTTTTTATTAGTAGATATGTTTATAGTTCGTTTTTAGATATAGATTTTGGTGAGAATGCCAGTAATAGTCAATTTACATAAATGTAGGCGAATTACGTCGAAACGGCTCGGCTACGTCGAAATACCGGTTCCCGATAGATCACAGAAGTTAAGCGATGTTAGACGATGCGAGTGGATGGACGGGTGACCGTTTGGAGACTTATGTATGGCACTTGCCGTTTAACCATGGTGGCTGTCAAATTGTCTATTTTAAGTATATCATCTTCTGTGTTTCTTATTTTTTTATTTTTGAATTCTACATGAAATTTTAAATACACTTTGTGTGTGTGTGCTTTTTTAAATAGGAAAATACATTTGCGTATCTCAGTGCCAGATGTTTGGCCAGATATGTCGGACTCAATACCGACTAAAAACCTCCTCTTTCTCCGGCCTCTGCACTCCCCGCGGAAACCACCGTTAGGCATTACTTCGCAGGGAGAGGATCTAGCTATTTCTCTTCCTTCCATTAATTGAAGTCAATGCTTCTCTTCCTCTAACCGTTCATCTTGTTGGCTCGTTTCCTCTCTGTAGGACGCAGGTGTTGGAGCACTTTCGTTGCGAAAGTATTAGTCACGTTCCAGGATGCCTTTGAAGAAAGCATCGCATCAGTTAGTGTCTCCTATTGAATTGCCAGTTTGAGGACAATCTCCAGATGATTACGCATTAAGTTGAAACGTGGACAAACAAAGAACATGTGCTCCGCGTCTTCAGGAACTCCTGGACAGGACGGGCTCTCCGGGGAATAATCGATTTTAAAAGGATGAAGATATGTTCGGAAGGAACCATATCCTGAGGTCATCTATGTCAGGTAATAGTTGTCCTCATCATGTTTTCGATTCAGCCAAACATTCAACTGAGGTAGAAGACGGTACGTCCAACATACCCTTTGTTGCGGCCTCCCACTCTATGCTATGCTGCCGCTCTTCTCTTCTGAGTGCATCAGAACTCAGTATCACCTTCCTCATAGCATCAGACGATCACCTTCGTCGATAAAGGACTTGCCGTTCTTCGGCTAGAATTCCAATAAGAAGGATTCCAGCTATAACGCACACTGCATCCTCAGATACCGTGCCAAAGACACTAGCTACTTTCAGGGAACTCAGCCCTATGCAACTCTTCTCCGTGTTCCTTGTTTTCTGAGTTCCTTCTGTTCTGAGCAAATTGAAATTCCATGCCTCGGTCTTGTGTTTGGCTAGTTGTAGTTTTATCGTATTCATCCATTGGTTGATCCTCTGAAAATTGATGTCGAAGTCTAGATTATTTGTGTCGTGTATGTTGCGGTAAATAAGCATCAGTAAAAATACCTAAGAAGAGACGTTAAATTCCAATTATTTTTTTGGTAAAGGATTTATAAATATTTTAGTGGTTCTTTATTTAAAAGCCTACTTAATATTGCCAAAACGAATACGTTTATAAAAAGTTTTAATATGCTTTAAATGAAGTCTGTCGATTTAAAAATTATAACGTTTAATTATTCAAATACTGCGACCTAAATAGGGGATTAAACTGTTCGATTTGACATTTAAAATATAATCTCCCCGGTATCGCGACATCTTAATAACATTGCCAAATATCTTGTCACAGTTTGTCGGGCCGTGTTCAAAGTGTTAAAAATCACCTAATAAATTATTCCTTAATTGAAACTTAAAGCTGCATTTACAATAATTACCGTTTATACATATGCTTCATCTTTTTTTATACGATTGGAAATATTTCGCTCTTTCGCTATATTGATTTACCTTAAGCAATGTGGATGTTATATAGTTTCTTTTATTTTTTTATGTAAACTCAGATACAAAAAAACGCAACCGAGAATTTTTTTATTAAGTTTAAAGGGTTATATTTTTTTACTTTTAGATCTATTTTCATGAATTTTTTAGCCAACTATACAGGGTGGTCCAAATTGTATTCCGGAAACTTCGGTAACATATGCTGCAAATAAAAATAAGTAAAAAGGCTCGTATAAATGTATGTTCGTGAGAAACTTCATTTTGATGTCAATATGACTCCTATTTAACTAGGGGGCGCCACCTACATGTGTTTTAACTGTTTTGAAGAGTAATAATTTTTTGTCCGTACCTGTATAAAACTACTGAGTGAAAAAATATACATCTCCATGACTTTTCACGTAAAAAATGTCTCTTAGTAAAAATTGCTACGAACAATCGTTCTCGAGATATTTAGAATGGAAATAGTCAATACATGTCATTATTGACAAAAAATACACACGTTGAGTAGGTAGATTATTTGACTGAAATAATAAATTTGCGAAATTTTTATATTTTTAAATTAATCATAAATGTTTCTGCAAAAAAAATGATGATAAAATAGTTTCTGTTGAACTTTTGGCACAAAAATATTTCAAATTTATGATTTCAGTCTAATAACTATTTAGCCAACATGTTTAATTTATGTCAGTGATGACAGGTATTGATGATTTCTATTCCAAATATCTCGAGAACCATTACTCGTAGCGATTTTTACCAAGAAACATTTTTTTACGTAAAAAACTTCGTAAATGTACATTTTTTTGCTCAGTAGTTTTATACAGGTACGGACGAAAAGTTATTGCTCTTCAAACCAGTAAAAAAATATGTCGGTGGCGCCTCTACAAGTAGGAATCATATTGACACTAAAATCAAATTTCTCATATCAAAAAACTCTCAGATACCAATTTTCATCCAAATATTGACGTTACTTCTTTACGAAATTATTTGGAAAAAATCGAAATAAAAATAAAACTTCTACACCCTGTATTTCCAAAACTAAGCATTTTAGAATAATTTTGTGAGAAACTTTTTCTAAAACATTATTTTTCGATCAAAATCATGTTTCCTGAGCATTTTCTTTTTTGACTCATGTCAAAACACCAAGGCATGTAACACATACCTTGGTTAATTTTTAAGAGTGAAATGAACTTGCCACCAACATTTGCCATTTTTTCAAAATCATTACTTTATGATGCTATTTTTTAATATCACGAGGTCTTTGACTTTGGTGACTATTGTCGTAATGTCATATTGACACTGATTAGAACTCTATATTGAATTTTAAAAAACGTTAAAAATGAACGATACAGGATTGGTTTTAATAAATATTATTAACTCTAACAGAATTAAGGATATTAAAAAAAAATTGGCGCCGGGATGCACGTATAGCCGCCCTTTCTAAAATATGTTAATAAACTGATTTTGATGTTATTACAAATTTTGTTGCAAATATTATCCCTAATCTTAAATTGAAAACCACGTTTCGCTAGCTACTGTAATTTTGGAGTTACGATTTTTTAAAATTTTTAATCCCCTCCCAGACCCCCTTACCAACCCCCCCCCCCAAAAAAAAAAAACAAATGGCCAAATTCTCGGGTGCCACAGTATTTTTGTGCCAAATTTAGTTAAAATCGGTTTAGCGGTTTTTGAGTTATCGTGTTACAGACGGACAGACAGACAGACAGACGGATAGACAGACAGACAGACACCATAAAAATATTTTGTATTTAGGTCATTTATGACCCATATAACTCATCTTGAGTGAAATTAAAAAAACTTTTTTTTTGTCGATCTTAATAGCCTATCATACCTATTGGTATGGTAGGCTAATAACTGTAATAACTAAGTGTATAAACAAACAAAAAACTTGTAAAAAATACTCTAATACTTTGTATTTTGAATTGCCTTCCCTGGCTGTTATAACTGTCTGTAGACATCTCCGTCGGTTCATACTGTTAATGATGCTGCAAATATATTGTGTTATGTTTTCCCATTCTTCTTCAGGGACCAAGCAAATATTCATAATTTCGGCCATCTTCATCAAGATCAATGACTTTTGCACAACCTTCGACACTAAGAACCGTATTCAATCGTACACAACAATAATCACCAAAGTTATCTCGTCATTATGAAGAATATCATCAAAAAGTAACGATAATTGAAACAATAGCAAAATGTTTGTGGCAAGTTCATTTTGCTTTTAAAAATTAACATTAATGAGTAAAGAAATAAAATATTCAGGAAACATGGTTTTGACCGAAAAATAATGTTTTAGAAAAAATTGCCCACGAAATTATTGCACGGGGTGTTTTAAAGATCGGGTAGAAAAACTCTTGGATTAACCCTGTATAATATAAATATGTATAATAATAATAATAGGCCCTCGCGGCCGCAGTGGAGGGTCCCACCTGGGACCCACTCTTAGTCAAATACAAAATACAATACAATGTAACCCTGTATAATAAGTCCAATACTAAAATTTATAATAAACTGCGTTTATCAATTAAAGTTACTTAATATATTTATATACAGTTTGTCAAACAAAAATGAAGGAAATAGGGCCAAAAATAAAAAAAATATAACATTTTAAACCAGACCAAACATTTTTTCTTTTTTTTTGCATCTGAATTACTTTTTGTACCTGTTTCCAGATACAAAAAAATCTTTAGAACAATCTATATAATTTATATTAAAGATTTCAATGTTAAAGTTCTCAGAATGCAAGTAGTCAACAAATAAATTAATTTGTTAAAGTACCCTTTGTCCGCAATAAGTACCATACTGACAACATAATTACAATGAATTATTGTTAACATCAAAGTATAGCACGTAACGAACGTTCTTAATTCGTAGGATATCTGTAGTTGGTTAATGAAAAATGAAAAAAACTCAAGGTAAAATAAGATGAATTCAACAAAAATGCCTCTCGATATACTTATCACATTTTAATCACTATTTCTTTTATATCATGTGTTTTAATTGAAGAAACTAACTTCATTAACCAGTCTACACATATTTTTTTCATTATTCTGCTGTTATTTAGTCTTTGTATTTAATAATAGATTAAAAACTAATTAATCTTATTTATTAATTATTATGGTTATATACTTAGTATGGAATATTTTATGATATTTTATAAGCAATATATTATTTGTTTTCAGGATTTATAGAAAAAACACATCTAGATGATTTGGGTACGGAAGAGGCAATATTTGTTAAGCCATTGAAAATCAACCCAGACGATGAAAACTTAGCGTATGATATGGGCAATTCTGGACATTTTAGTACGGGTAAGTAATAAAGAAAATAAATCTCTCTATGAACATTATTTACTATGAAGTGCTTTTGATACTGGCAATTTTAATATAAACTTATAAATGATTATCTTATTAACTAGCGATTCCAAAGAGATCAATTCTACACGATGAATGTAGCATTATTAAATTAGCTTTGGTACCAGGGCAAGAGGATCACTACGAAAAGGCAGATGAAATGACCAAACAAGGCTCATCATAGGTCCAGGACATTTATATGTCCAGAACATTCATAGGTCCAGAACTCTTCAGCCGCAAATCAGTGGGTAGTCAGAAAATCTCTATTTAACCAGACAAGTGAAGAAATTTAGAGTTATACCGGGTGCATCTCGAAAGTGGGCCACTCCTATATTTTTTTTTATTTTTTCAGATACAAAAACGAGATTTGGTATGTTAGTATATGACATAAATTTGGATTGATTGACGTATTCAATTGTTTTTGGTCATTTTCTGTTTCACCGAAAATGATTACAACTTTTGATTATTAAATGGCACCTTCGGTATGTTTCTACTTTTTTCGACAGAAAATGACACTCTGAGTGGAATGAAGTATCTTATGTCAACTTTTGGCGTTTTCGCTTAAAAAATCGTATTTTACATTTCAATCTAAAGTGCCATGGCTGTGTTTTTTAATCATGGAACCTTGGAAAAATAGATTTGATCGTTAAATGTTTTTCGTGTCCTTGTCCTGGCCGGTTAAAAGATGCCCAAATCGTATTTTTAACTATATCTCAATATTTTCAAATGGAACAAGGGTGGCTCATTAGCATATTTGGAAAAAGCATTTTTTTACGAATAATTTTTTGTAAAGTTGTAAGTTGTCGATATTATATATATTATAATTTCAAATAAGCCATATGCGAAAATGCAAAAGTTGACATATGATAATATGTCATTCAATTCAGAATGTCATTTTCTATCACATGAAGTAAAAAATACCGAGTGTGTCATTCAAGTTGTAGCTATTTGTGGTGAAAAAGAAAGTGACCAAAAACAATTGAATACCGACAATTAATCCTAATTTATGTCATATACCAACATACCAAAATCTCGTTTTTTTTCTGATAAAATAAAAATGTTTTAGGGGTGAGCCACTTTTGAGACGCACCCGGTATTTAAAGTTTAGAGAATATTCGCTAAAAGAAGAACGGTCAAAAAACTGTAGTTGGTATTGCAAATTGGAAGCCGAGTTGGAAGCCCAATAGGCATCTAAAGTTGATGGAATTTACGAAGTCTTGAGTCATCACATTTTATGTCAGTGCAACAACCTGGTAAAATTGTGGTTCTTTTTATGAGGAAATGATATAAGCCATTTGTTAAAAACTATATGGAGCACTATTCAAGTTGAGTCCACTATCCAAGTCCATATGAGTAATGTCATCAATTGTCATTTCCAAGCCAACTGGACACCGGATCATATGGTACTTGGCTGATATCAAATGCTATGAATATATGCGACGGCGATTATTGGAACAAAAGCTTACTTCGAGTTTTTTTATTACCGATTCTGAACTGTCCTCAAACCCTACAACGCATGCGTAGATAAAAAAAATCATATATCAGCATATTCTCTTCTGCCTATGCTTAATATAGTTCTAGGGCAGTTCAGAATCGATAATAAAAATGGTAGAATGCAGAACTTTTTTAAGTACAGCTTTTTGTACTGGATGCTTCAAATTTACGTATTGTTGATTGTCATAATAATAAAGAGGGTTTAAAGGATACTGCCATAATAGAGAAACTGTAAGCATGATTTATTTTCTTACATCAAGGATTCTAAAGGCGCGTTTACACAAATCAAGTGGATTGATCATTTGAATTCAATCCGCATGAATGGAATATAATCGTCTAAGCTCGTCAAATAATGTTAATTGATCAAGTGAGTTGATTCAAATCTCAGTTGGCTATTGTTCAACTTTTGACGTTCAAGTAGTATATTTAAAATGGCGGCTAGTAGGTGAGCATAAGAAAATGCTGTGAAGTTTATTAACATCTATGAAAAATATGAGTGTATATGCAACACGTCGTCTAAGTCCGTACATCGCGTACGACGTGTAGTGGCTCTGGTTCTGGCTCTAAGGACCTGACGGCCGCACGCACCGCCCGTCTCCAATTTTCCCTGTTTTCTGTCCTTCGAACGGCTCCCTCCAGGTTGGTATTCATAAGTTTTTCAACCATGTCCACCGACCTGGTTGGTGATCTGCCTCGGCGACGGGATCCTGCAGGTCATCCTTGTACTACCAGTCTCTCCATGTGCGCGCTTCTACTTGACATGGCCGAAGAAGAAAAGTATACGTTTATAGACAGTGCTGGAAAGTCTTTGTGATAATTGGATTTCGTTAAGGACCGACACATTGGTGCGATGTGCTGTCCATGGGGATTCGCAACATCCTCCTCCAGCACCACATCTCGAAGGCGTCAATGCGTCGTCTGTCGGCTGCTAACAATGTCCATGTCTCTGTATATGGAACACACAGAAACCGAAATACATAATTATAGAAGGAATAGTAATTTTTAGCTTAAGCCGAGGAGAAATAGCGTTACGCGTTAATGTGTCTTATTTTTTTAATTCTGGGTGCAACTTTTTCCAACAAAAAATGAATTTAAATTAAATTGGTTTACATCAAGTAGTTCTGCGGCAAATCAATTTTCTGACTTGTGTAAACGCACCTTAAGACTAAAGGTACATTCAGGCTGAGAGTGTCGAGCGTCGCGTCGCGTTTGCGTCGCGTCCGCCTCATTGAACTCGTACCCCGACGGTCAGCGGACGCTAGCGCAACGCCAAACGCGACGCTGTCTGCCTGAACGGTCTAATTTAAGTTAAGTGAATTGATTCCATTTCGACACGCGGATGCGACGCAAACGCGACGCGACGCTCGACGCTCTCAGCCTGAATGTACCTTAAGGCTCTGGCGAGTTCAACGCCATTAAATCAGATGTATATTTTTTTGTTCCATTCTACGACATTTTGTTTAAAAAATATCGTTTAACACATCTTGACATTTATTTTATTAATACCAAAGTATATACTAATTTAATTTGAAAATATTGAGTATGTTGTATTGTTTCCTCTAACACTAAAGTATCTATAGAGACTAGAAATCGGCACGTGCTTAATTTATACATGGCCGAGTAAAATAAACACGTAAGTCATCGCGAGCGCGAATCTTTTGACAATAAATTTTTTATAGCGCTCTCCTTACTACTGACAGCTGTTAAATACTGCGAGAGTGTGTAATTGGTTTTGCTGTACCCCGATTTTGCCGGTTTGAGCAAATAAACCGAGCGTAATAATGTGGTTTTTCCGATAAAAATTTAAACTTACATTTTCGTTTAAAGGCAATGTTGGAGTCGTTGGCACGGATTAATTACATAATTGTAAATAAACAGTAGTAAACTGAAACTTGTTGTATATTATTGCAAACGGTTTCTTGGAATAAATTAATTTTATCTTTTTCTATGTTCCTGTCACAGCCTATTCATAGACAGCCTGTCGGCTTACGGTGGTTTGCATGGAGATCTGCGTACCTACCTAGATATTTGCTTATATTATTCTATTATACGCTGCAGGTTAGACTCAGACACTCAAAAACAAACGAAGATTACTTGCTGGTAGTGAATTCGCTGCGGTTCCTACAGTAGGTACTACACATAAAAAACGAAGAACGCAAGTTCCTAAAATAAAAGAGAAAAAAGGACAAGCATATAAAGAAATCCACCAAAAACATATTTTGCAAATTGTATCGAGTTTTCTGTAGGAAATTTAATCCAAATTCCTGCCTTTTCAACTATTTTTGGTAAAACGTAGGATATCGTTTTACATATTGTTGTTCTATGAACTCCTTTTTCTTTTCCGATACCTATTTGAAATCCAGGATCACTTAAAAGTCGCAAACATATTTGCATTTGTTTTTTTGGACTCAATGCACCATCTCTAGTTTCCACTTTTGGCTCCAAAAAATGGTTAGCTATCCATTCAACATTTTCTTCACTAAATCTATACAGACCGTGGTATTCTTCGGCACGACTTTCTTTTCTTGCGGGATAAAATTTTACAGATCTTATATTCATAAAAGCAGCCATTTCTGCCAAACTTTTTATCAATACTAAATTTCTAAGCTAGGGTTTAACGAGCTTGCAAAAATGTAAGCTTTTCCTTAATATTCTTAGTAATTGCTTATTTTTATTCACACCATTTTTAGACAATGCTAAAAACTTTAGTAAACTTATTTTTAGTAAAAGCTAATACTTACTTTTATTCACTGCAAACTAAGCATTTGCTAGGAAAATGTAAGTTTTAGCTTTTACTAAATGTTTATTCACACTGCCCATTGATAATTTAGGCTTGTCTAAGATACATATTAAAAGTATTCTTAGAATAAAATAATTTTCATCTTCGGCGTCCTGTTACGTTAGGTTGCTGGGGTTTGGGATCCTGTTTGATCCCTCAATCGGCGGCCTTGGGCCCATTGCGATACCTCTGTATTATTATACCAAACCTTCCTCTCGTTCATTCTTTGCTTTAAAGCACTTATTTCAAAGTTCCCGATGTCGCTGATATTGACTTCTTCAGCTTCCTCTAGTCCCTCCCTCCAAAACAGTAAAGTTTTAAAGCGTCGGTTTTCCAGTGCTGGACAGTGGCACAGCAGGTGCTCTATGGTTTCTTTTTCCGTTCCGCATTCTCTGCAGTAGTCAGTGACCCCTCCCTACGTGGGGCAGTTTCCAGTGACGACACTTACAATTATGCGTACTTGGTTCTGTTTGTGCTGTAGTAGCTGTTTTGTCTTTTTGTCATCTACTACTGGCCTCAGTCTTCGAGATGTAGCGCGGTTCTCACGGTATTCCAACGTATCTTGCTGCTTGGTCTTGATGAACTGCCATCAGCTACCTATTATCTATAGCTTCCTTCAGTGTGTTGATCGTCAGTAGTGGATCATTTGCCACGGCCTCTCCCCTGGTCACCTCTTTGGTGAATCTGTTTGCTTCTTGGTTGCGCACCACATTGCTGTGGCCGTGAACCCAGCACAGGGTGGACCCGTCTTGACACAGCCAGGACAGTGCTTCTCGGCAGTCCATTATAGTTTTCGATCTCACTGTTTGGATGGTGATGCTTCTTAAAGCATCCAAGCGAGAGTAGCCAAAGAGTATATCACGATATCTCATATTGTTCTATCATCGATTTTTCCTCGTACACAAGTATCCGCTTCCACCTCTGCTTGTAGAACATTACAGCAATCCGATAGCCTTAGGGATCGTCATATGTCTAGTTCCTCTAAGAAGATGCCTATACCTGTGTCTCTTGAAGTCACGGAAGCATCTGAGTAGACTGCTATCTCTTGAGTGTTCATTACTAGGTTGCTTTCCCATTCTGGAAATTTCCCGACTGTTAAAAATATTTTTTTGATATTTATAATAACTAATTATTTTTATTAGTATTTTTTAATATACCTTTAATCTATTGTTTCAGAAAAGCCGGTAGTAAAACACCATAGTGGGCACTTTAGACACAAAAGTGCTGAAATTTGGGATCCTCATCCTAAATATGAAATTGATGCTTTCGGGAAGATATTGGTTTTAGAACTAGAAAATAATCACAATTTTGTAGCACCTGATTTAGATGTAAGTATTAATTAAACTCTACTTTCATATCAAAATTTTCAGACTGATTATAAACATACTAGAGACACAACATTTGGGAGAATAATAAAATGGTTGGTGACAAATCAGCAAGAATATTTCTGGTTTTATCGAAACTAGATGTCAACTTAAAACAGAGAATCTTAAATATTATCTATGCCTTTTTTTAATTTTTCCAATTTTACGTTAAATATCTACAGACCAGAATATTAACATGCATTAAGTTCAGAGAGTAACATTTTACTGTAATTTGTTTTACAAATACATTTTTTTTAATTCTAGATTGTAAATCATGGCTCACAAAGAGGACACAGCTTTAAACATGATACAAAAATGGGAAAGTGCTTCTACACGGGAAAACTAAAAGATGACACAAACTCAGCAATAGCAGTCAACTTATGCCATGGAATGGTAACGTACATAATATTATATTGTTTTATTAGGATAATTTTAATTGTTGAATTTATTTTCATTTAAATTGTTTTTTAAATATATTTATTGTATCGCGAATTATATTATATCCTATCTTTATTATCTTATATCCCAATTTTAATTAAATATACAGGGTGTCCCACTTAAGATGGATACAAGCCAATATCTTGGTTGTTTGTTGAGTGATCTTCTTAAATCGATTATTAAGTAACTGATAATTGGATATAATTGATTATTGATAATAAACCAGTTGTTTATCCAGTGGCGTCGCAAGTACTTAAAAAATAATAATAAAAATATAAATATCTTATTTTAATGACACGCGTATCCATATTTATAAAAATTAGAACTTAAGTGTCTTAGGTAAGGAGGATTCAATATAATTTATCAGATTTTTGAAATAAATACTGTTCTAAGGGTAGTTTACTCTTGACTCGAAAAATATCAAACCCCATTAAAACGTACATCTATGAGGTATCGCATTTCTTACCCTGGACAAAATGTACGTCTTATAGCCATACAGCTTCCTGCCAAAAATGAAAAAGATCGCTCAACAAACAATCAAGATATTGGCTTGTATCCATCTTAAGTGGGACACCCTGTATATGAGTACTAGATAAATATTTGAACAGGCTCTTTTCAAATATGCGATATAACAGCTTGCATTGTATCTTTCTGTGTACGGAAGCAGTTCATTTTCCCGAAAATCTACGTAACACGAGCAATGCATTTTTTCGTCGTAAAAGCTTGGCGTGCATTTTCGGAAGGACGTACTTACAAGTGGTACGATGCCCGAGTAATTTAACCTGACCCAAGGAGTCAGTCACGTTTGTGAGAGTGACTAATATTACAGATTGATGTACAGAAGCGTGTGTCAATGTTAAACAAAATAATTAATATTTCTTTATTCCTGTTGGTTCAAGTCAAAACAATTTGAAATAGAACATGATTTTACCGTACACAAACAAATTTTTTCGTTCTCTTTTTCGAGTTAATAGGTTTTACTTTTTTTTACTTTTGTAAATGGCGTTTAGCGTATTCTGGAGGAAGCAACCAAATATATAAATGTTTGGAAGGCCCCCTTTACCGTATGTTCAAATACTGTCTCTACCGGTTAGGTTGTAATCAAAAGTGGCTCACCCCGATAACTTTTTTATTTCCCCAGATAAGAAAAACGAGATTTGTTATGTTAGTAAACCTGTTTTACCGGAAATGACTACAGCTTTTGAATTTTAAATGGGATCTTGGGGATTTTTTACTTTATTTGATAGAAAATTACAGTCTGAATAGAATGATATACCATATGTCAGCTTTTGACATTCTTGTTTAAAGAAAAACTGTATTTTAAATTTCAATTTAGAGTGCCATGGCTGTGTAAAAAAACACTAATTTTTAATCAAAAAGCCTTGGAAAAATAGATTTGATCGTCTATTGTTTTTCGTGTCTTGTCTGTAAAGGTCGATTCTCACTATATCTGCCATATCAGCTCCCTTCCGTGTACATAAAATATTATATCATGTAAATGAATAGGACAATGCATACTATCTGTTCAGTTTCCCTTCCGTTCTATATCCTTTCCTTCCATCTTCCATACATATTTTTGGAGGATGGACTGAAGCGTATTGGAAACAAGGTTTTGTCAAGTTCCTACATTGGTACCAGTTCTGTTAAAATTTTGCTGATATTTATTTATTCTTCCACCTCTTAATTAAATCTATTACCTTCTCCAATAGATACAAATTTTTAAAATAAAGTTTTCGTAATGATATAAATTGTACCAAAGATTGTACAATAAAAAGTATGGAACTGATACGGAACGGAAGCTTACGTATAGCGTCAATACAATAAAAATACGGAACAAATATGGAATTGATATGGAATGGAAATGCAAATGAAACCTTAAAGATGCACAAATCGTATTTTTAATCATATCCCAATTATTTTCAAATGGAATGAGGGTGGCTCATTAGCATATTTGGAAAAAAAATATTTTTGTTACGAATAATTTGGTTTGGTTCGGTACCACACAGTTGGTATTTCGAGTCAAATTGTCGTTATGAACCGCATGTTACAATTTCAAATAAAGTACCTATATACGAAAAAAAATTGTGTTTTAAGCAATATATTTAATATATCTGGATTTACGGTAAATTTTTGCCACAATTCCCTTGAACAACAAAAATAAAGTAAAATGCATTTTAATTGTAGTCACTTTTTCACAGTATTAGCATAAAAAAATTAAATATTTTATTCCTCGTATCTTGATATTTTTAAGATGAAACCGTATTCCAGACCGATAAAAAAACATATTTATTATTTATTTTGAAAGAGAAGGTATAACTTTTAATTTCTTCATCGTTAAAATATAGGCGGTTTCTCCGAAGGTTGCCTCCAAAGAAGAATATTTTTCGTTTGAAGTCAACTTCTTCTTCTTAAAAAAACAATTGAAAAAAGCCGTAAAATTCCAGATATAAAAATGGTTGGTGACTAAAAAAGTTATAATTTTTATGATTATATTTTATAATGAGTTTCAAGTTAACTAACCTTAATCTTTTTGAAATCACACATTTCTTTTTTAGTATTAAAGAAAACAAAAAGATACAGAACAGGGATAATGGAATCTACTACATACATTCCTAAACTATTATATGCATATTTTTTAGATTTCAGCCTTTTTCGTAAAGTTGAAAATGTCATACTGCTCATGCGCACTCCTAGCAAAATAACGCATTACGTGTTTCTTTTTGTCTTTTGGAAAACGTTTCTGATGCTTGACTACAGCATGTACCATTTATTTATTTTGACAGGTGACATTTTTCTAGTCAAAGCTTCAAATAATTTATAACCATGCATCATTAAGTAATGTTTAGTCAGAGGATTAGTTTTATTTCGTGATTTGGTGATTGTTGTAACTGTTTTATTGTGCTCGCTAAGTTCAAGTCAAAGACGGTTTCTTGACAGCTGGTGCTCAATACTGGTTCTGTCAAGTTTATACAGGGTGGCGCACCTCACACGCCTCGGTTGATTATACGAAAACGGAAATATGTAAAAGCAAATTTTTTTTGGGTATATGTAGAGAGACAATGTGCATAATTTAAAATTATTTTCAAATGTACAGGGTGTGTCAGAACTAAGATCTATACTAAAATTATATTTTTTCTTATGAAACACCCGGTATTTTATTTCATTTTTTGATTGTTGGGCATAAAATAAGGCATTTATTATAAGGCTTTAATATGTTTAAATGCTTTAGTTTTTGAGATATTTAAATATCCATGCTATATGATCAGAAAATTTAAAATTTAATAATTTATTATAATAAATGCCTTATTTTATGCCCAAGAATAGAAAAATAAAATTAAATACCGGGTGTTCCATAAGAAAAAAATATAACTTAGGTATGGATCTTGGTTCTGACACACCTGTACATATCAAAATAATTTTAAATTATGCACATTGCCTTCCCACATATACTCATAAAGTATTTTGTTTCTACATCTTTCCGTTTTGGTATAATCAACCGAGGTAAATGAGGTGCGCCACCCTGTATTTAAAGGATCAACTTTTTAATAATACTTCCTTGACAAGGGGCATGCTCAGTATAACATAATCGTTGATTGAAAAAATTCTTCAATCAACGATATAAGGTATAAATGAATAGTTTAGAGGGACTAAGAACTCTATAATAGGTCATAATGGTCAAAGTGCAATATGATTGAAAAAAAATTGGCACGTATAGCCGCCCATACTAAAATATGTTAATATCTCGAAAACTGCGACTTTGACTGATTTTGATGTTATTACAAATTTTGTTGCAAATATTATTCCTAATCTTAATTTGAAAACCGCGTTTCGCTAGCTACTGTAATTTTGGAGTTACGATTTTTTTTAAATGTTTAAACCCCTCCCATATCCCCTTACCAACCCCCCAGACGGACAGACGGACAGACAGACAGACGGACAGACAAACTGACAGACAGACAGACAGACAGACAGACACCATGAAAATATTTTGTATTTAGGTCATTTATGACCCAAATAACTCATTTTGAGTGAAATTAAAAAAACTTTTTTTTGCCGATCTTAATAGCCTACCATACCTGTTGGTATGGTCGGCTAATAACGACATAAGCTCAAATAACAGATCGCTGTCATTTGATATGTAAAATTGAATGGGGAATGTAATAAAATTGATCGTCATTTCCAAGCCAACTGGACATTTTTTTTCGATCAAACGGTAGGCAAATAGCAAATTTATTTTTTGTTTGTTAAATGTCAGTTATTTACTGTAATACTGTAATAGAAGTATATTTTAACGTATCAAAGATATAATTATATTTTTAGTGTAAAGATTTTCGTCACAAGACCATCTTCTTAAGGTATATTAAAAATTAGGAAGATAATGACAGCATAAATATTATTTTATTTTATTTGTTTCGTTAATTCCATGATTTTTTTTAAATCAATACAAATGGATCTATTTAATTGGGTAACATTTCTTGTATATATCTTCCATTAACTTAATTGGATTAATATTTCTTAGTTTGGATTTTAAAGGTAACTTAATTAAAGTAATTTGAGAATGAATTCCTGCATTTTTTGACCTTATACGGTACCTTTTCAATTTATAAAGAATTTACCTTTACCTTGAACATATGTAACACTTAGCGGGTAAAATCTGGGTGGCTTATAACTTATTATTATTATTTTACTCTCCATGGATATCAAAGAGATAGCTAAAATGGTGTAATAAAATTTGATAGACAACTACATTGTGCATCTGATTCACTTAAAAATACAGGGTTTTCCATTTGAAGACTTCTTAAGACTCTCTGTATAAGGTAGCATTAGTTTTATTACTGCAACACAATATTTAATAAATAGAAAATCTTCAGTACAATATTTTGTTTTAAAAATTTAAATACGCCTAGAGAAATGGGGTACTAAAATTGTGACCTATGATTGTGACTGCATATTCA